GAGAAACCTCTTATTTCTTCAATCTGCCTTCTTTGACCAGTTTACTCTTGCTCTCTACTTTACGAATTTCTGGTCATTTAAAATGCCATCTTTCCCTGTACTGAACTATCTGAAGGACACAGTATAAGGGATAATTTCTGGACACTTTTTAGGAGATGGGCCTGCAAAGCATGATTTTCTGGTTACTGAAGAAAGAAGTTAAAGCAGGAATTAAGAACCACAATTTAAGAGCTCCAGAGTTGGAGCTATGGACCAATAAGTGTGGAGGGCGCCAATCCTACAAGTCTTTTACTGAGGATTTAAAATATTGAGAAGGAAGTGGAGACCCAGCCTTGAGCTCACTGGCCTACTACAAGTACTCAAAAGTTGTTCGCTCAAGTTTGATTTTTTTGGGTCACCTCTGCAGTTATGTATGATAGCTTTCACTTTGTATGTTCTTTAATCTATGGATTTCTGCACCCATTGACATAATTCCCTAGGCTCTGTGGCTTTCTGCCCTCTGACTGGGAGGTACTGGTTTAATATTTCAATTGTTTAACTGAATTTGGTGAAGTCCTATGGCACAATTTCGGACTAATTCATAACAGGATAAATGCAGACCTTATAAGATAATAAGAAATTAAGCTAAAGAGACCTGAGGGTGTTGGAGGGGTGAATTGTCATGTGGGGGCGATATTGTTGGCCAACAATTCTGAAAACTGGGAAAACAAAGCTAAACTAAAATATCTGAGTAAAACAAACAAACAGACAAAATAGTTGTTTGCTCAACGCATGACTTCCTCTGTTCTCTGGAGGCAAAGGAAGGTTGCTCAGCATCTGCAGCCTGTTCCAGATGGTAATTGTGAAAGTACCTGAGGCAATAAGACAAGTTGCCCACCTCTGGCCCGGTCAGGGAACCCCCACTTGCTTCCTTCCTAAGTAACTCCAGGGAATCATTTATTTATTTTTTTATTTTCTTTCTTTCTTTGCTTCTTCTTCTTCTGTTTTTTTTTTTTTTTTTCCC